CAATCAAGTAAGTTGCATAATCTCATTATCAGTTTCACAATTAAAGCTTGCATAATCTCTCATGGTCTTGAGAAAATCATACCAATTAAATAGTGAGTTTCACAAATAAAAGCTTGCATGATTTCGTTGTTTTGGAAAAATTGCGCCAATCACAAATAAAACTTGTATAATTTCGTTGTCTTGGAAAAATTGCACCAATTGAATAGTAAGTTTCACAAATAAAGCTTAGTAAGTTTCACAAATCAAATTTGTAAACTCAATTAGTTGCTTAATTAGGATTGGTAAGATAATAGAACTGACGCGTTCTAATACGTGTGCTAAGCCTCAAAATTCTGCGTGATAATGCACATTTGCGAAAAATCAGGTCTCGAGCTGTAAAAATTTTTTTGGATCAAAAAAAGATTTCCGCTCTTAAATTCTTTTTAGAATTGAAGATTATTTATGCATTAAGAGAGCTGTGCAGAAGTTGAAAGTATTTAAATTATGATAAAAACATTACTGGGAATCTAATTTGCAAAATGGATATCTTTTTCACTATTTTTATCCTCAAAGCTTTTATTTATATTTTTCATATTTTTGCTCCTTTTGCTCTTATTTTTTTTAATTTTTATAATGCCTCTAATGCCGAAGAAAGCAATGCTTCTGATAACAATGATTCAATGTTGGTTATTAAAGTCGACAACGATGAAGAAGAGTCTAATAAATCAAAAAACAGACCTAAGGAAACTTTTAATATTAAGATCCAGCAGAATAATAAATTGAAAGAAGAAAACAAGAAAAATATGAACAAAAAAAATCAAAAAATTAAACGAATCAGAAAAAAAAATGTGTACAAAATTAGACAATTATTCCTTAAACAAAATTGTAAACGAAATATGCTCTTCAAACAAATAATTGAACATGAATATTTGCTTCTAAATCAAGAAAATGAATGAATCAGAAAAGAAAATGTGTACCTTCAACAAAAAATTAGACAATTATTCCTTAAACAAAATTGTAAACAAAATATACAAACAATTGAATATGAATATTTGTTCCTAAATCAAGAAAATAAATAAATCAGAAAAGATAAAGTTCCAAAAACAATTGATCGAGCAAATTTTGTAAACACAGGACTTTTAAACTATATCATAAGGAATTGAAGTTTAAAAACGGAAAGAAGAATTTTGGCAGATTTAGAGATAAAAAGACTTTTAGATAAATTGAACTTAATCAATGCATCATTAGTCAACAAATGCTATCAATTCTTTGAAAATTGCAGTAGTATTGAGAGTATTGAATCGAATATAGGATACCTTATAAATTATATATATAACCAGTTAATTCTGGAAGTTCAATTCAAAGACAGTAAACAAAATTCGATGTAACTTGTAAATTGTAAATAGTTTGAAATTCTTTATCGTCAATAGAAATTAGGAGATTAGCATTTTAAAAAAAATTAATGCCTTATCTTTCACAGCTAATATCTCGCTGAATTTCGAAGCTATTATTATCATTTAATAGGTAAAGGAAAGCTGAAGATCTGAGCTTTCTTTTATCAATTAAA